CTGCTTCCTGTCCGGAAGTCTGTGATCCACCTGCAGGTGGAGTCAGGCATGCTCAGCTGGGAGAGCTTGTCCTGCAGTAGGGCCGGGATGATGGTGTTAAAAGCAGAGCTGAAATCCACAAACAGGATCCTGGCATAGGTTCTGCCTCCTGAAAAGGCCGTTGACTTCCCTCTCTGTGATGGAGAGGAGGGGACGGGGTGGAGCTGGCCAGCTCTGAGGAGGGAGGGGAAGATCTGGTGGACTAAGGCTGAAGCTGAGCGGAGGAGTCATGGGGGATGGTGTCCGATTGGTTCAGCTCATTTGCCAGGCGAGAATCGTTTATGGAGTGGGGGACTTTGGGTTCATAGTTTGTGATCTGTCTGAACCCCCTCCAGACAGAAGTGGCGTCGTTTGCAGAGAACTGGTTCTTTAGTCTCTCTGAGTACAGTTGTTTAGCTTCTCGCACCTCCTTGCTATACCTGTACTTTAACGCCGTGCACCCGGCCCTGTCACCACTCCTAAATGCCTCCTCCTTTTCCAACCTTAGCTGTCTGAGTTTAGCTGTGAACCAGGGTTTGTCATTGTTATAACTCACCCTGGTCCGTGTTGGGATGCAGCTGTCCTCACAGAAGCTGATGTAGGACGTCACAGCCTCTGTAAACTCATCCAGATTGTTGGTAGCCTTCTTGAAAACATCCCAGTCAGTACAGTCCAAACATGCCTGGAGGTCCTCAACAGCTTCACTTGTCCACTTCTTTGATGTCCTCACTACAGGTTTACAGAGCTTTAGTTTTTGCCTGTAAGCAGGGATCAGATGGACCATCACGTGATCAGAGTGTCCCAGTGGAGCGCGTGTGACGGCGTGATAGGCACTGCTAACGGTGGTGTAGCAGTGATCCAAAGTGTTCCCCTCTCTGGTTGGGCACTTTATAAGCTGTCTGTATTTGGGGAGTTCTTGGCTGAGATTTACCCTGTTAAAATCACCAAGAACAATAACAAGGGAGTCCGGATTTGTCGGCTCAACACACAGTATACGGCCAGCATGCTCTGTGCGTCCTGAACATTGGCGTGCGGTGAGATGTAAACACCGACCAGAGTGAATGAAGCAAACTCACGTGGGGAGTAAAACGGTATACAGTTAATGATAAGAAATTCCAGATCAGGAGAACAGTGCTGCTGAATCACTGTCACGTCAGTACACCAGCCATTGTTAATATAAAAAGAGACACCTCCACCTTTTGTTTTGCCGGAGAGTTCTGTGTTGCGGTCTGTACGATATCTGTACAGTTGGAAGCCTGCCAGCTGTAGCGCGGAGTCCGGTATCAGCTCACACAGCCACGTCTCCGTGAAGCACAGAACAGAAGATGAATAAAAGTCTCTGTTTTTCCCCACCAGAAGCTGAAGTTCGTCCAGTTTGTTGCACAGTAAGTGCACGTTGGAGAGTATATATTGCCGGTAGCGGTGTGCGGCGTCCCCGCCGGCGAAGACGCACAAGCGACCCGGCTCTTTTCCCTCTCCTGTGGCGCTTCACAAAGTGAACGACAGCGATAGAGCCCTTCACCAAAATGTCTAATAATTCCACTGATGACGCAAGAAAAGTGGGAATTAAATCCGCTGGAGTTGTTCCCCTGATGTTCATGAGCTCCTCCCTGGTGAAAGAGCACCGGGAATCACAGCCGAAAACTGAATTAACACAAAAACAAAACGAATCAAAGCGCACCAAACACTGAGGCAGCTATACTCAGCGCCATCTTGGAGAAATATCCCATAATATGGCTTTACTGAGTCTTGTATTGTTGTAGGTACAGGATGAGTTTCTTCAGCTGGTTTCTGAAGCTCATTTCCCCACTGTATATTCGCATATTTCAAGTTTTTCTTGGATTGATATAATACTATTTACACATCCAGCAGACATAGAGCAGCATTGGCACTTGTTGGTGTCTAAGTAGCACAGCTGCAGCTGTGAAGGAAAATTGGCGACAGGGTAAATGAACAAGCGTAGCCTATAATATGAATGAGTTGATTTGATGTGGTGTTACGGAGTGTTTGACAATTTTAGCCTTCATGCGCCAATAGGTGCTCAACTAGTGGTCAAAATACTGGATCTCAACATTTATGCTACTGAAAACTCCCCCGCATTACCTGTGCCCACATGATCAGTCTGTAATGAAAGATCGCTATAAACCTAAAATTAAGACATTCATATTAAACTTAATTTCTATAGGCCTACCAAGCAAAAGCAGCCTATAAAACAGGTTGTGGGATATCGTACAGATGGTGATGTCATTTTCCAAGAGAACTGATTGGTCAGTAGGTGGCGTTCTCATCTCGAACTTAACCTGCTCCGGAGCAGGTAAGCCGCTCACCGTAAGTTACCATTACAATTACCATTCCACAAAACGTTGTCATATGTCAACTTGTCACTTCCTTGTTTACAAGGCGCAGCAGACGTCTCCCCAAAGCAGGGGTAAACGATATGTGCAGTATTGTGTTTGAACACAATACTGCACATATCGTATAAGGCAAATTGTCTATTGACAAATACTTCAGACAAAAAAATGACTATGACACAGGCTGTCAATTACAAGCGCTAAGAGAATCAAGGTCAGTTGTTTTAAATATGCAAGGTTAGGGTTAGACCTGCAAAATCATGGAGTGACTGTTTAATGATTCAACTATAATTCTGAAGTAAAAAAATCTATCTACTCTTGCAGTTTTCAGTTATTCCGACAAAAAAATGCCCCAATACATCAGAACTTTAATAGCAATTTATTAGAAAAGCTGCCCCAAAATCAGGCATTTTACGCCCCAACAATCACTAAGAAGGCCTGAGAAAATCTGGAGGGACTGGTATGTTTGAAAACCAAAAAAAACATTACAAAAACTTCAAGGTGTTACAGTCGATAGGGCTGTCACAGGCCTGAATTACCTCCTTCCACTTTGAAATGCTATGATTTACCACGCTGATCAAGTAAAATGCTTGTGTTTGAGATTTTGAACATTGATATAGTAGCAAACAACTATTTGCTATGTAAAGATATAGTGGAGTAATGGCATCCTAAGCAGAGACGTATTTTACTTCCATCATGTCCTACTATTTTATAAAACCAACAGTGCATTCATGATTGTCCGCAGCCCACGGATACTACAGCTACATGAACACAAAGTAAACCCTTAGCTGTGATTTAATTGCAATAAACGGATCAAACTGATGCTGAAATAACTACAATATGATGCCGTTTTGTTAGACATATGAATTCATACTTTGTCAGGTCTGTCAGCAAGACAGCAGGACGACAACTTTTACAATATGTGTTTGGAGTTGGGATTGATCAGGGCTATGCTATGCTAACCTGTTCACAGTAAAGTACAACGACAGCTGGAATAAAGTTACAGACACACATTTTCTAAACTCACCAGGTAGTTCAACTTCCTCGCTTTCTTTTCTCCACGTAATGTCCAGCTTTGTCCGGTTTTTATATAAAAATGAAGTAGTAGTCCAGCATTCGACGCTAACAACAACAGTAGAACCGGATGTGCACAGAAGCTAGCTGCCGACAAGCGCGAGTGAAGATAAATCAAGTTGTAATTCCAAAAACTAAAGTAAAAACCTAATTTAATAAAAGCAGTTAACTCTGACCTCCTCTCGCTGGTAAACGGCGTAGTTGTCAGAGCAGAACAAAAACGCCTCATTCGTGCCGCCCGGAGCCAATTTGCAGGAATTCGCGTCTTTGCATTGACTTTGTATGTAATCAAGCCGCCCAAAACACTGGATTCGCTTTCGGTAGGAACGCACCTTTATGATGCAACTACTTTACTTGCTCCTGGAGCCAAGAACACTACAGTTGTGATACCGCTTCATCACTTTGTTCATCATTTGTGTCAGATGAAGCCAAGGTTGGATTTCCTTGCGAGAGTCTCCCACTACTAAATCAATGGCACCTTTATGGATCCCTTGAGAGAAGGACGAATGAGTGAAGGAATGATAGGAGAGAAAAAAAATGCTGCTTGCTGTGATGACTGACAGATGAGGGAGAGGGTGTGCTGGGAGGGAATGAGAGTGAAAGGAACAAAGAGGGGAGTCAATGAGATGTGGGGGACTGAGTACAGCGTTTCATATGTTCTTAATCAAAGGTATCCATTTATAGCACTCTATGCTGAAATTATTTAAAGACAAAATCTATTAAAGTCAACATACTTTTCATTGATTTACAGGAGAACTGGGTGAAAAGCCATCTAGGCACTGGTTTGGTTTGGAAACAGTGCGCTTTCATTTAAAACATGTCAAGAATACATGCAGCCATGTCAGAATATGTTACCATCATTCATGATAGACTATGCTGAAACTATCCCATCTGTCCTCGAACAGCAGTATTGGTTATATAACTCATATGTCAGCAGAGTATATTACTAGATGCATTTCATTTCTTGTCCTGTTGTGACAATAGACAGAGAGGGAGACAAAGGGCTGTAACAGCATTGGAGTAAAAGTGAGTAATACTGGATCTATTATTGATTTGATATGAGGTGAATATTTCATGACCTGCGAGTAGAAATTGCCCCAAGATTATTTCAGAGTCTGGGTCAAAACTCAGTGGAAATTAGCCCAGCCTGAAACAAGCGCCTCTGCCAGTGTGTTTTTCTGTGTTACTGTAAATCATATCCAGGCAGTTGTTTTGGGGAATGGCAATTCACTCGATGCTCTCATCTCTGTAACAGAATAGAAGCTCCTACTCCGAGTGACAAGTTGGATTCACTGAGCTACTGAATAAAATATACCGCATATTGGGAATTTATGATGTTTTGGTAATTTTGTTGTTGGAGCATCCAACACACTTCACTGGATTTTCTCACTCTGGCCTTGGTAATAAACGCTGGCTCTACAGTACATCAGTACTACAGGACTCACTGGAGAAAAATGCACTGCACCAATTTGTTGTATTCACAGTAACAACATGATTCATGGTCTCTGTTTGCCCATTATGAGGAACAGGCTGTGCTGCTTTTAAATAGAGGAATAATGCTGGCTCAAAACTTTTATTCAGAATCCCTCAAACACCAAGACAGCTTAAATGGCATAACACTGCTTCATTATATTGTTCCAATTTCCTCTTCCTGCTGAAAGACAAATTGAAAGCTACAGTTTTGTATTCTGTTGAATATTTGTGGAGGTTGCAATGAAATGAAAGGTTAATGAAAGATTTCTATCTACTGAGGCTATTGACATCGCTGATGACCTCAGGGATAAGCCTATAGTGGTTTGGCGAACCTGGAATGAAAGTGAAAATGTTCAATTTAGCAGTAAAAGTGCATTGGCAGTGGATGCCGGAGCAGTGCTGTTATTTTTTATTTGGCTGAGTCAAAATAATGTGACAAGCTTGGAGATGATAAAATATTTATTCACCTCTTAAGGCCTGACTTCTCACTCTGCTGCGCTGATGTTAAGCTTCTGTTTCCTGGTGAAGGAGAAACACAGGTGTGAGGGCTGAGGGGAAAAAAGGAGGTGAAGGAAACAGCAGAGGGGGGAAAACTTGAACTGAAGGTGAAAACTGGTGCCAGGTTTCCATCCAAAAGTGGTGCAAAATGTAACAAAATTTTATGAAAACCTGCAAAACAAAATGAGAATTTAGCCGTGTTTTCATCAACGTTTAGTGGATTGGTTGGTTCATGAAGATAAGCATTAGTGACGCTAATGCTCCAGTCAGGTGACATTAAACCACTGTAGAATGAGGGGCACAACAAGATGACATAGCAAATAAAGTGCCAGTCAAATCTTAATTGGTGGAAAACATTTAGAAAACGTGAGGTTAGGTTACACAGCCACATGCTTCACGTACTTCATGATTTCTCGCTAAGTTTATCTTGTTGTATTTTCTTTTTTTGCGATACACCAACTTTTCCACCTCTCCTAAGCGTAATATTTTTTTCCAACATTTCTGCTTTTCCACTTTATTCTATTTTATGCGCAAATTGAAAATGCGCATTAAATGAGGTGGATGGAAAGCCACCAAGGTTAGACATTTTGTGAGATAGACTTATTCATTTTCTTGCCATTCTGATTATTATTTACTAGCCTCAGCTGTTAGTGTATCTACAATGTAAGGGTCTAGAAAATGACACGCACAGCTAATGCTAGCTTGTTTACTGATCGGCAGACTTGTCACTCTGGAAAAGATGCAATCCTTGCTAACTTTTTAAATATCAAAACGGTACAGAATGGCATTTCTCTTTCTAACAAACTGTCTTTGGTTGATTGTACATTTACTAGCACCAGAACAGTTTCATTAAAAGATTGGCTAACTCACAAAATAAAAGTTGATGCAGTTGTAGGATGTGTCCTTACCCTGGATTTGAGGGGGGGGCAATTTAGCCAGGGGAAGCTGTAGTGATGGGACATTTTCTGTTCCATTTTCACAAAAGCAAATAGGCAAAAAATGGTTTATGTAGGATTACGTGTTGGACTATTTTCCAAAGAAGTTTCCCCTTTTTTCCAGTATTTAAAAGAACCTGCTGCTAGCCGTGGCATTATTTTTAGTATACCGACATGAGAGTGGTATTGATCTTCACATCTAAAACCAAAACATTTTTCCATTTCCCTGGAACTATTCCTTTTATATCTAGAAAAATGCATCATCCCTGAATTTGATTATGGAGATGTTTTCTATTCACATGCTGCCTTCCACTCCAATGATAATGGGTGAATTTTCATTCAATGCTTTGTTTTTTATTAGAGGCAATACATTTCACAGTAACCATGGAGATTTATCAAAATCAAAAAGTTGGTGTTTCAGAAGTGAAATGAATTGCAGTATCCAACAGGCTTGACATTTTAAACTACTCTGTTGCTCCACAATCCTTTATTTATGGTGCTAGATCACACTGTGAGTCTGATTCAAATACTGCACACCTAAATTATCATTTTCTCTGAGGTTTGAATTTGTTTTTCATGAAGCCCTGTCTGGCAGTTTGATTGCTGCTTTGTTTTGTTTACTTTGATTATCCTTGTCATGGATTCTTTTGAGCTAATGTTCCTCGTGAGACAGGAATCTCCATCTGAAAGCAACCACCAGATGAAATAATGAAGAATGAAAAGAAACAAAAGAGAAGAAGAGGAGAAGGGAGGAACAGAAGATGGAAAGATATTGCTGAAGAGTGGCTCAGTCCCTCCTCATGCCAGCTGGGTTTCACTCTGTCTGACTGATTGGTTTCGGCTTGACTGGTACATTAGAGATTGATGGACAGGTCATTGGCGCTATCAGATGACTTCGTCCACAGGCCAAACTATTCTGGGTGGGCGTGTCTTATCTCCACAAAGGGGAAATAGAGCACAGTCGATAGCCCTTACAGGAACAGCTATCCATTCTGTCTGACTCGCATCTAGATGTGCTTCAGACTGAGTGTGTGCTTTGTTTGTCTGTGATGGGTGTTTACAGACTTGTAAATGAACATTGATTCCTTAAACCGTCTACCCCAACAATCAGTTACCAGCAGGCACAATAAGAGGACTGTCAAACAGCGCGAGAGACAGAGCGATAAAGCCAGAGCGTATTAAGGCTCCAAATTAAAAGTCTGACCCTCTCTGCTTCCCTTCACCTTATCTGTGACTGACCATCTTAAAGTGTGCGTGTGTTCCTGTTTCTAAATCACACAATTGCTCACTAATGAAAATAGAGGTCGTGTTTCCGTGCTATCCACGTAAGGGTTTGCTATAAAAGGAGTGCCATTTGTTAATGTTGCATCATTATCATCAGTTGTTAATGTTGTGTATGCGTGAAGGTCAGAGAAAGACTGGCTACATTCTGACATGAAAAAAGTGATCAGAGGACATTTCAGTGTGTAGAGTCAGTTATTTTGGATTAGTTCTGTTATTCTTGATCTGTGATAATAAGTTAATTATTTGATGATTATTTACTATACGACAGTGAAGGAACAACATTTGGGTTTTATATTAATTAAAATCAATTTTGTATCAATTAATCTGCTGATTATTTTCTTAATTAATAGATTAATTGTTTTTATCTTAAAGGAACTATGTAAGTTTTTCAATGAAATTAATCAAATTTTCATTGCCTTATTGTCAATGGGCTCAAAACTCACTAAGAAATGAAGCACACACCTGTTTACTCCGTTGCTTGCATCAGCCACTATTCTGCTTTTAATGTGGGGACTCCGGGTCGGATTCAGCCCTGTGCGTGCTCCCGAGCCTCTCTCAGAATACAGTGACAACACAGCAGCTAATGACATGCAGTCCACTAACACCATAAAACAACCAGCTCACAGCAAAACACAGATTCCACGTAAGGATACAAAACAACAATAAAGTTTTACAGTATGTGCTGAAGCCCATCAGACCAAACAGGTTCAGATGATGTCGAGTAAGAACTCAGTGAGCATTAGTAAAGCTGGAGAAACACAGAGAAAGTCCTGTTAGCTGGCTGGCTAACGCCAAGCAGTTGCTAATGTTATCCAGTGCAAAGTTATATCGCTTTCCACATTACTTCACCAACTAACGCAACCCATGTTACTATCCTGTGTACCACTGTTGATTTAGCCTGCAAGAAAGGATGTAACTGTAAAAAGCAAATGTGGAGCGATTTGTTTACTAAAGGTAGCCAGGAGCAGTCAGCTAACACTACAGTAGCTCGGATCTGCCGTTGTTTGCTTTATAACGTTCAGTTAGTGTTTATTGTGGTTTTACGGATACTCAAGTACACAGCTTCTCTACCTCTCCATCGCTGTAACTAACGTAACCCACATAATATACAATACTGCAACTTCACAGCGACAACAACCCAGAGGAAGAGGCATGCACTAACACTACTGTAAAGTTACTTACTGTGGTCTTATTATTATAAAGTGTGACACAATCTTGATATTCAGTCCAGCTCACTACCCATTTCTTTATCATCTAATACATTTAGCTGTGCTGACATTACTGAGCCTCCGGTGAAAGATTCACAGATAGTAAAGATAGTTAGTGAAAGCTGCAGACGAGCTAACGCTGTAGCACGTCGGCTAAATGCAGTCAATGTACCATTATCATGTAACGAGCACGGATTAGTTCAACCTGCAGCTGATAAGACTTATTGTAACTTTGCAGTAGGGGTTTACCTGAGTTTCCAGTATATTGTGTGAAGCTGTCTCCCTGCCTGTCTTTAACCACTGTCACTCTGCCTTTTTTCCGGGAGGATTGTGCTGATATGCGGCTGCGCTGAATTAAGTAACATTACGGAGCTGGTGCTGATCTGCCTTTGAGAAGGGAACATTGAAGTAGCAGAGCCTGAACATGTCTGAGTGAAAAGCCACAGCCTGCATGCTGGTGTTCCTGCGTTTATTGCAGGATTTATGTATGAAAGTGGTTGTGTTTTGGATTATGCTCGCTCATGAGTTCAAGTGAGCACGCGTACGAGCACACGCGTGGTAGCAATCTTAAAACCGCACCGCTAATGACCGCTGGAAATATTATTCCAGTGCACAAGATAACATATTCATGTTGCTTTGTTCAAAACCAAAAGATTAAATGTTTGCTATCATATATGACAAAAGCACAAAGTCCTCACATTTTAGATGATGGAAGCAGTAAATGTGGCATGGATTTGGCATTTTTGCTTGTTAAACAACTGAAATGATAAAAAGATTATCAAAATAGCAATTCATTTTATGCTGACTGACTAACAATTGTTCGCTTAATACTCCTCATACACTGAAGCAAGGACTCAGGACAAGTGCATGTTTGTCACTGGTTTGAATGTGTCAGAATGGATTATACAACCTGGCTCCACAACTCTGCTCCAATTCTGGGTTCAATGACATTGCTAAGCTTTGATTACTTTGGTGAGTGTTTAGAGCTGAAGTCCCTTTTACACAGGATAAAAAAACAACACCAGCTAACATCTGGCTTTTGTCTTCAGTGGGAAAGGGTACAATCGACATTCATTCTCGGGTCAAATGGGGGATTTATTGGCTCCAGTTCTAATTTCTATTTTTAGCAGTTTTGTCTCCTAAAGAATCTGCATATATATGCTAATTTTGGTGTAAAAAGGTTATGAGTGTGTCTTGAGGAGTCCAGCTTGTCATGGGAGAAGCTTGCCGATAGCTAATAAGGTACTGTGGTACTATGTTTCACTCTGTACTTGCTCTAATTTGTCACTTCTTGTGTGTGGGAAAGACCTCCAGTCAGTGACCCGATACCACTACTGGATACCATTAATTGGTTTAAATAATAAAAGTCTATGCAGTCTCAATTACTGCAGATAGATTTAATTACAGACTGATAACGTGCATTTTTACATAAAACTGTTTTCCTACTTCACTGCTGAAAAAACTTTAGAAATTGAAGTGGTATTAAGTAATACAATTATATATAAGTATATTTTGGTTTCAATGTGCATATTTTAAAACATCTAACTTAAACATTATGGTAAAGTACCAATCGTAGATATTTAATGACACACCATCATGGAAATGGATTACAATAAGATGACTATTCACCTTTCCAAATCTCTTTGCCCTTTGGTCAGGATTTTAGACATAAATATACATTTTGTTGATGCTCGGGTTTTACCTTCTGCCCCTCCACCTCATCCCCATTATTTGGGAAACCTCCATCACTGTGGGGGTGTTTGAACATTACACAGCATGAGAGGAACTCTCCTCTCTTCACTGCCCACAACCTCCCCATGCAGTGGACACCATATGCCACGTACACACACACACACACACACACACACACACACACACAAAACACACACACACACACACACACACACATAAATGTGCACCGGCTACACCCTGGGGTTTGATGCTTAGGTGCAATTT